TGAAGTAACGGAGAAAACTGGGAAGGGCAGGCAGGGATTTTATCATTGTAGGATCAAAATATATATATATATATATATATATATATATATATATATTAAAACAATTATTAAATATCCAAATTATTTAACGTAATATAATAAAAACATGTGAACCAAAATTATTTTCTTAAATATTTTAAAAAAAAATTATTAGTAGATATAAAAAAACATTTATCAATTTATCATAAGTTAGAAGGGTTTAACTTCTTCAAAACCTTTTTATTATCGGTTTGGCACCGGTATAAATTGTTTATCCAAACACTCAAAAATGCTTATTACCGATGTCACATCGAAATAAGTCAATAAGTTGTTTTTATAAGCAATTCCAAACACCCCTAAAACAAAACCACCTAAATATGATTGAAAAAATGCTATATTTTATCAAAATAAAATCATAGCATAGTTTATGGTTTTTTATTTACTCGTTTTAATAAATTATACGACATGGATTGTGTTCATAGTTAAGTTATAATATGGATAGGAGGTGTAGATTGCATGCTTAAATAAGCAAATTTCTTTTGTATCGCATAAAGTGGGGGGTCAAGGGGATCATGCCCCCTGTGGGCTCTAGGGGCGATGTTCTTGCAGGGTTTAGAGAACGATTTTTAGAATCATAAAGATAAGTCTTAAGTTAAGAAGGTTGCATCTGAACTTCAAAAGGCAATAATTCTTTAATTTTTGGATTATGATAAGTTCGATTTGATGCAATCTTTTCTCGTTATTAACTGGTAGTTAGTTATCTGGTAACTGTTACGATTTACAAATAACTACCTTTCCAGTCAAAATTAATCATCGATGAACTTATATGAGCAGTACCGATCAACGATCTCAACTTTGAACATACGAAAATCACAACAGGACATGTGTTTTACCTCAATTTTTGCCCAAAATCTCGATTACGAGTTTGGACTATCCCAAAATGAATTTCGTTATACCTAGGGCTGTATAAAACTATAAATGGTCAGAATATTACATTAGGAAAATGTAGCGTACATGATCTATATTATAATCCGAATCTTTATCAATTAATATATCATCCAAACCGTATTTTAACATTTTCTTTAATTATTTTTGACAAATGAACTTGTTTCATATTATTTGGATTTATCCCGTTAATCAACTCAAATGAAAACCGTACTGATTAGAGAATAGCTTCCACCATCTATGCGAATGAAAGTTCTAGTTAATTAGTTCGGGTTTTATTGAATACTAAATTTCGTTTGAATATTGCTGATTTTGAAAAATATACCTTCAAAAAATATGTCCAAATATAAGCTTTTATATAAATATTTTCTTAAATTATAGACTATTTAATATACATTTTGAACCCATTAAACATCCAACATATTCTTTTAAGAGTTGTTTGTTTACCTCTAAATGGCTCAATTAAGAGGCAGTCTATGATTCGATCAGATGTGAATCTTGTTTGACAAAATTATATAACTTTTAAGTCATTCCAAAATCTTTGAATCCCTCGTTTTCCACTTTTCTAGGGATTAACTGTGCTGTTTACGGGCATCTCATTTCCGCGATTACCACTGTTTCATCATTGCTTGTGTTCTTTATCTCATATATGGGAGGAAGTGAAATGAAATGGTAGTTGTTAAGGTACGTTGTGTCAGTACTTACTGCTCTGTTTTCAAGATGTATGATCTATTTATGTATTCTGCAAACGAGACTATCTATTGTCGTTACTTGTTTTTTAAGAAAGAAAATAAAATTGCAGTGATCATCTTTCCTGCTTACTTTGATGATTCACTACGTCATGCAACAAAGCATTCAAAACTATTTGTGGTTATGGATGTTTTGCACTTACTTAATGAACTTAGAGCATCTACAATTGATTGTGTGTCAGACGAGAAGGCTACATTCATCGATGAAATAAAAATGTGCTTATCATTTGGTTCGGGTGGTGGTACATTTGATGTCTTCCTTCTCACCGTTGAAAAGAAAGCTTTAGTTTAAACTTGTCGGTGGTGACACTCATTTAGGTGTGGAGGATTTTGGTAATCGAACAGGGGGGGGAACACCTTATTGCAGAATTCAATAGGAAATATAAGCAAGACATTAATATGGACCCGAGGGCATTTGGGACGTTGAGGGTTGCGTGAAAAAAGTCTTGGATGTTTCTGAACAAGCAACGACTGTGCTTTTTAAATATGATACATACATTTATTAATTTAGAATTACCATTAAATAATAATATTTTACTATGCACTGAATCAAGCAGATATTTAAAATGAAGCAAATAGTTAAAATGATAATTCTTTTATCATTTTAACTGTTCATTAAAACACTTACTAAATTGTCAGGTGTGGTATATACAATCTTCTCTCAAAAAGAGACAGTAAGTGCAGTGACAAGCAGGCGATAGAATGTTAACGAGATAGGTTATCACTTCTCATTCTACAACAACTAATACATAATCTTTTGAGGGGATGTTTGGTTGGAGTATTAGAGGGTGGAAATGAGAATGACAATGAAATTGTTTGATATTATTTATACTATATTATAAAGCATTTGACAGAACCTCTTAAAAACCATTTTTTATACATACAGTATTGTTTATTGATGCAAATTACTTAAAATTCAAGATTACAAGTAAATATGCATAAGTACAACTTATTAAAACTCTATGTTTGAATTCATATAACTAACTGTAGATAAACATAATCAAATATTGGATAAACATTTTATTTTTAAATATAAAAAATCAAAAATATAATTAGGATAATTATTGTGTTCTAACATAATACTTAATTATTATCTTTATAAAAATTATATTGTTAAATCAAAAGTAAATTACTTCCCTATTATACTTAAATTAAATTATAATAAAAAAATTGAATTAATAAATTACACAACAAAACAAGAAATTTTAAATAGTTAATTTGATACTAATATCGATACATATATATATATTTTTAATTTTAAGATATTTTCTAATTTATATTTTATTTAAAAATAAAAATATTATCGTTTTTCTCAAAACCGTATTATAACATCGACAAAGGGCATAATAAAACGAAACATTAAAATTAAGATGTATTTCACTGTATTACACAAGTATCCTTCTATTATAATATCACGAGTCCTTTTTCATTCTTATCATCATTACTTAATATGAACCAAATGCACTCTCAATTATCTCAACTATTTATTTATTTTAGATCCAATCATTCTATAATTAAGAACTGTTTCCCAAACATTTATTGAATAAGTCTTTACGGGCAAAAGTTATCACTCTTATTTACTATATCAATAACATTTTTTATCATCAAAATAGATTGTTGATAAGTATTAACAGGATAAAAATCTCTTAAGTTATCAGGTAAAATTCCCAGTCATCTGATAAGATGCTTGATTAAAATAATACTTGTTTCCATGGCTTGAGGTGGTATCTTACGCGGTTTCCGGTAGAGCGTGGAACCACGCGCGTTAGGAACTCCATCAAGTATGAGTGATATGACCCCTGGATACAGCCAGGCCTATCACTAGTAGCAGCCTAACTCGGTTAGGATGTGATTCCTTATGTTTTCAATTATACCCCTCAATTAATGTATATATACCATTTTCATCCCAATACTTGCAAAGAATATCACTTTCACCCCAAATGTGCCTACATAAATGAAGTATCAAATTCATTATTTCACTTCTACAACCTTGGAAGGTAAAAGACACAATAATTACCAAAATAACCTCAAAACGAAATTAGTTATGAAGGTTTTGTGATTCTTTTTGTTTTTGTATTTATCGTTTACATCGATCATAAAAAAAACCAAATTAAACTCACACATCTTTATCATATTTGATGATGTTTGAACTCTTGATCTCCTATGAGAATAATGACTCATATACCACTATATCAAAGACCCTTTGATATGCAGTTGTGTCGTTGCATGTATTAAATAACTCCACTAACCCCATTAAAAGTTATAATACAATTTATTTTGTAGGATACATAAAGAGATAATTTGATTGGTAATAAATAACTCCACAAATCGTTATCATGTAGACATATCTGATTTGATCTCAATAAAATGTGCAACTTAGATTAGAAAAAAATCAAATCTTAGTTAAATGGCCAGTTTTAGAACTATTCCACATGTAAAAGCTGAAACGAACCCAATGTATGAGATGTAGTGGCACAAACCATCACTTCGTTCCTCCATTGTAAAGTACAAAGAAATCAGGGTTATGAAAGGTGTCATCATATTATAATGTTGGGTGCCACCGTATATATCTAAAACTACGACAATAACACAAATTTGTCTTGGTAGAGTTGGTTTGGACGACTTTTCTCCCACCCCAGATCCAGGTTCAAATATCGTTTCAATGATTCCTAGTTTTTAGTTGTTAAATTCAGATCTATTATGTTTCCGATTTTTTTTTTTACAATAATAGACTTGAATACAAAAACCTCACATACAAAAAGTAAAAAACTAACCAACAGATTAATGATGATTTTCTGAAAATATCCATAATTTCATTTCTTATAGTTAAATAGTGCCAACACTTGAAAAAATTCTTAGGTCCGCTTCCATGTGCAAGAATACGATTGTACGGAGAAGTTGCATTCAAGATGCATTTTCTCCAATTGATAATGTTTGATAGTACAGGGACTGTAAGTTGTACCTAATAGGAATGTAGGGGCTTAATTGAAAAGTTCCATTCTCTTCCTCTTTAATCACACGCATCGTTGACCGTCAGAAAAGCTTCACACACCAAACCCTGATTTGACCATCTCCCCCCCCCCCCCAACCAAAAAACAGAGTTCTGGGAAGAAACTAATAACCCCATAGATTCTCTCTTTATAAAACCCTCAAAATTAAGCTTGTTGTATGTATTTCGACTCCATTCTCTGCGTTTCAACTACATCTCTCTCTCTCTCTCTCTCTCTCTCTCTATATATATATATATATCTTGATTTTAAAGGACAAAAATGGTGGATCATCAGAGGCATACGCAATTAAGAAAAGGTGTGAATGTTACAGTGATACATGTAGACGATGAAAATGGATGTGTAAGCATCAAGAGATCAAGACCTAAACTTCTTTTCTTCCTCACCTTTTGCTCTCTTCTCTCTTGTTGCTTGCTTCTCGTCTCTTCTCCTTCCTCCAACTTCCCTCTTCTCTGTAAGTCTCTCTCTCTCTCTCTATATATATATATATGTATATGTATATGTATATATGTTTAAAGTTTGCATCTTTTTATGATTTCTGATGTTTATCTTGTTTATGGTTACACAGATGCATATGAGGGTGAAGATGAAACTCTTTCTGATTCAAAAGCTCCCCTTTGTTCATCTGTCTCAAATGGTTAGTTCTTCCTCTCTCTTGTTCTTAGGGGGTGTTTGGGATGATCACTGGTTTGGTCTCCAAGTTAAGCAAAGATTTGACTGTATTTTTATTATAATTTATGGGGATGTAGGGTTCTTGATCTTGGTGCTGTTTGTATGTTGGTTTGAATAACTTTTTTGGGAATTTGTGTTTGATTATTTTCTTGGATTTTGATTTGCAGGAACAATTTGCTGTGATAGAAGCAGCATTCGATCGGATGTATGTATCATGAAAGGAGATATAAGAACAAGTTCTCCTTCCTTCTCGGTCTTTCTGTACACTTCCGATCACATCTCCGGTGATCTTGTCGCCGGAGAAGAACTCCAGCACCAAAAGATTAAACCCTACACTCGAAAATGGGAGCCATCCACCATGGCCACCATTGATGAACTCACTCTCATATCCAAGAAACTCAATTCCACAACAGACAACCGCCATCGATGTGATGTATATCACCATGTTCCGGCGGTTTTCTTCTCCACCGGTGGCTTCACCGGCAACGTTTATCATGAATTCAACGATGGTTTGATACCTCTTTACATCACATCTCAGAAATTCAACAAGAAGGTTGTGTTTGTGATTCTTGAATATCATGATTGGTGGGTTATGAAATATGGCGATGTGATTTCTCAACTTTCCGATTATGAAGTGATCGATTTCAATGGAGATAACCGAACCCATTGCTTCTCGGAAGCCATAGTCGGTTTACGAATCCACGATGAACTTGCCATCAATTCTTCATCGATGCCTGATAACAAAATGATTGAAGATTTCCACAATGTTCTTGACGCAGCGTATTCGCCACGAATTAACGATCTAGTTCAAGAAGAACCGCTAGAAATCCACGAACCCGAAAAGCCAAAGCTCGTGATCATCTCACGGAACGGGTCTCGGGCCATTATGAACCAAGATTTACTTGCGAAAATGGCAGAAAAGATCGGGTTCACCGTGGAAATTCTCCGGCCCGATAAAACAACCGAGTTGGCGAAGATATACCGATCGCTCAACTCGAGTGACGTCATGATCGGCGTCCATGGTGCGGCAATGACTCACTTCCTGTTCATGAAGCAGGGATCCGTGTTCATCCAAGTTGTACCTCTTGGTACAAACTGGGCCGCAGAGACGTATTACGGTGGGCCTGCGAAGAAACTCGGTTTACGGTACATCGGGTACGAAATCCTACCACAAGAGAGCTCGCTGTACAACGAATACGAGAGCAATGACGTTGTCTTAACGAACCCGGATAGCGTAAACGATCGAGGATGGGAATTCACGAAAAAGATTTACCTCGACCGTCAAAAAGTGAGATTAAATCTTGCGAGATTTAGGAAGCATTTGGTTCGATCGCATTTCTATATCATGGCAAAGAGAAACCAGGTCCAAGTTCAAGCCCGACATCGGGCCTGAACCGAAAAGGTTCAAGTGTTGTTTGAACCCTTTCGAGAACATTAAAAATTTAAGAGGTGATGATATAGGGGAGATTATAAGATGCAGTTTAGAAAGTTGTAGAAATTTAGGGTATATTTATGATAATTCTTTAATTTGTAATTTTTTTATACTGAAAAATATACTTTTGACTATTGTGTGGATATGGGGTTGTACCTTGTGCATGGTTATTTGTACATTTGTTTTAAGTTGTATGGTTGTACACGTGAATTAATTTTTTGGTTTTTGTGCGTTTATTATTTATTGTTTTGTTCGTCTAAGGGGCTGTTTCATTAAGAGCCAACCTCTTAATCGGTAAGAGGTAAGGAGTGTTTGGCAAAAAAAATCAAGCCTTTTAATGGTTATATAACCCTCTTAACCATTTTGCATCCAATGGTTCACTCAACCATTCAGACTTCTATTTTTCCAAGATTACTCTTCCCACCCCTTCTTCCCAACCCTCTCTTCACGCACGTCGCTCCGTCTCCGGTAGCCGGTAGCCTCCACCATCTCCGTCCCCGTCTCCGGCAGCCTCCACCATCTCCGTCCCCGTCTCCGGCAGCCTCCACCATCTCCGTCCCCGTCTCCGGNAGCCTCCACCATCTCCGTCCCCGTCTCCGGCAGCCTCCACCATCTCCGTCCCCGTCTCCGGCAGCCTCCACCATCTCCGTCCCCGTCTCCGGTAGTGACCGGAAAATAGTCTGTGACTCTCGCCGATGACCGAAAAATAGCCTGTGAGACTCTCGCCGGTTGTCGCTCAATCGGTGATGGTCAATGGTATCTTCGATTGTGAGACTCCACAGCTTCCACAGCTTCCGTCTCCAGTAGCCTCCACCATCTCCGTCCCCGTCTTCGGTTGTCGCTCGATCGGTGATAGCCTGTGAGACTCCACAGCTTCCATCGCCGGCGACCTTCCACGGCTTCGATGGTCGCCAGTCCCTTAACAGTAGCACATCTTCGACTAGGTTTTCTTCCATTAGGTTTTCTTTCTTCAATTTTTAGTCGTTAGGTAAACCATAATGAAACTGGATGATCACTAAAAAAACAAAGAGGGTTAAAATAGTAATTTGCTTTTATTCAGAAAACAGTTACCAAACAACATTATTTCATTCAGCACTTAACCATTCTGACCCTCTTAACCATTCTGACCACTTAGYCATTCTGCACCAAACCATTCAGCAACTGCCAAACAGCCCCTAAGATAATATAACAAAACGTAAAACCGAGTATGCATAATACGTAGAGAAGGATATAAAAGGAATTCTAAAAACTTAAATTAATTATTAATTTTAAATATTAATGTAATAATATGTAAATCTATTTATATAAACGGACATAGATTTGAGATCTCGTGAGACCGACTTGTTTTTGTGAGACTGTTTTTTATACTTAAAATTTTATAGTAAAACACTGTGAAGGTAACTTTCAGTCTTCACATGTAAAAAAATAGTCTCATGGGTCTCATAAAAACAGACTGGTCTCATGTAGTGATGGCCAAAAACCGGTCCCGGGCCGGTTCCAAGATTTCTAGTAACCGGCCATAACTGGTCAAGCTTTATTGTAACCGGTTATGGGCCACCTGTCCCGGTCATTAAAAAAATAATATTTTATTTTTATTTTTTTAATGATATATATTTTTAATACACTATAAAATTTGTAATTGGGTCACTTAAATTCACTTTTAAAAAAATGCATTTTATTATAATTAAAATTACATTGTCTTACAAAATATAGCGAGAAACCGATAATTATGAATGTTTTTTTTGCGTTTTTTACGAATCGAGAACTTGATATGTAAATCCCTCAACCAAGACACTTGTATATAGTGTTTAAAAAGCAAAAAAATACAAAAAAGGGGCCAAAAAACGGCTACATTTTTGTAAAAAAATAGTTACATTCTTTAAAAATCGGGTCGGGCCGGGCCCGCGAAGCACCCCAAATCCATAACCGGTCCCATATTTCGGTCCTATAACCAGTCCCATATTTCGGCCCTATAACCGGTCCCATATTTCGGTACTATAACCGATCCCATATTTCGGCCCTATAACCGGTCCCATATTTCGGTCCTATAACTGGTCCTTAGAGATGGCCAAAAACCGGTCCCGGGTCGGGCCGGTCCCAATCGGTCATAACCTTTCTCATAACCGGCCATAACCGATCCCGGTCCCGGTTGAAAATGATAGGACCAGTCAAGGTACTTCATAACCGGTTATGGGCCGCCGGTCCTGGTCCCGGTCCCAACTGGTCCTTGTATTAAAAAATAAGATTTTTTTTTGATTTTTTTAATGATATATATTTTTAATACATTATAAAATTTACAATTTGGTCACTCAAATATACTTTAAAAATGCGTTTTAATATAATTAAAATTACGTTTTTTTATAAAAATACATTATAAAATTATTTAAAAATACATTTATTTATAAATTTATTTGAATTTTCGGGCCAGGCCGGGCCGGTCCATAGTCGGTCCCATAACCGGTCCCGGTCCCACGAAACGACCAAAAACTTCAATCGGTCCCGGTTTTCGGTTCCATAACCGATCCTTACCGGTCCCGAGCCGGGCCTTTGTCAGTCCCGGGCCGATTTGACCATCTCTACCGGTCCTTACCAATCCCGGACCGGTTTGACCATCACTAGTCTCACGTCAACTTAACCCGACAAACATAAATGAACAAAAGTTTTGGAAACATAAATGAACGAATTCAAATTGGATTAATAAAAGAAAACGAATATTAAGCCTAATTGCAGATCGTGAATGATTGGTTTGGGAATCTTGACCCTTTTGAGTTGGCAACCTTTATATTTCTTTCACGAGGTTGCCATATCATTAAGCCCTGCTAATATTTAAACATATGAATCACGAGGTTGCCATATCATTAACCCACTATTAATATTTAAACATACGAATTTTCTTTTAATTATAATAAAATAAAAGATTTTTAAACTAAACGACTCTAATGCTTGCAATGATAAGGATGTATAAGCATCTTATTTCTGATCCAAACTTTTGTCTTAAACAAATGAAACCAAAGTTATAGAAAAAAAATAAAAATAAACATTAAACCAATCTCACAACAGTTATCAATTTGAACTCATAAACATCACCTAAAAATCTGATACATGAATCCAACAATCTGACATTTTACGAATGACTTGGTAGACTTTAAGCTGTTTTTGAAAAACTATTTCATCTCTTTCTGGTTAATGGGTAAAATCTCTTAAAATAAAATCGAAGATGTTCTAAGAAGTATGCTTTTGTTACAGTTTGTTTATTGATCACTTTTGGGTAGTGGCTTATCGGGTACCAAGGAAAGGATACAATGAGGTGGCTAAGCCGAATTGGTGGTTTTGATGACTTTGCAAATTTACATTTACATGAACTAGTTGTCTATTGTCAAGTCTTTTGAACCAACAAATGTTCAAGAGATCTACCTCTGATAATGACTTGTTAGATAAAGTTTTGTGAAACGTGTTTGGAAAATTCAAACCCGATCATTTTCATCTACACTGGTGCGGGCCTATTCATTTTCGTGTGATGGCTAATTTTCTTATCAACAACTATGTTTCAAAATACAAACGTCAAGATGTCAATCTCGACTTGCGGATATTGGCCTAGTAGATATTTGGCTTTGTTTACAAAAAGATATTTAAGCTTCATTAGTAAAGTTTATCCCTCAAGTATGTAAAAAGTGATGTTTCGTACGAGAGAAGGGATAAAAAAATTGACTTTTTTTTTATAAAATTTGTTTCGACAATTTATACTTCTTTTTGTTTTTATATTTGCTGCTTTTAAGAAAAACAAGAATCAAAATCATATGTAAACCTACTCAACCCCCTTTTAGCTTTTGCCAACACAGGTACTTAACAAGTCCTGTGTACTGACACGGAAGCCGTCCACAAGTGTCATAATGACCGCAAACTTCTTTTCTCTTCTTTCACGTTTATAATACTTATATACTGCAAAGCTCACACACACACTCTTCACCTTTGATGAGACTTTAACCCGTTACCGCTCGGCCAATAGCCCTTTTGGTAATGACCCGAAAAGCAAAGACTGCTTAGATTTACCAAAATCTGCAGAAACAAATGTCTTGGCATGCACCTTTCCAAGATTCTTGAAACCTCTATATTTCCATCAACTATTTTCTAATATGAACTCTGGGGTAGTTCAATTGGTAAGACCTTGGTTTTGCAACCCAGAGGTTACCAATTCAAGTCTCCTCAGGGTAAAAACAACAACAGGACCATTAACTTCGGGGCCCCATGGTATTAGTCGAGATAAGTGCATGTTGGGTCGAACACCCATGGTTACCGAACTATTTTCTAATATGGGTTTGCAGACGCATATGAAGACAATAAAGCATGGAATACGGATTTAGGGGTTGTTTGGCAGTTGTTGAATAGTTTGGTGCAGAATGATTAAGTGGTCAAAATGATTAAGAGGCTTTCATGATATATTGCAAAATGAAATATAATTGTTTGGTAATTGTCTACAATGAAATCAGGACACTTAATGGTTAAGGGAGGCTCAGGATACAAAATCATTCAGAGGGTTTTAGAACCATTAAGTGGCAAACTTTTTTTTTTTTGCCAAACAAGATTCACCTCTTAATGATTCAGATGCTGCCTCTTAATGGAACTATTAAAAGGTAAACAAAAAAACCCCTTAGTAACATAAGAAAGAGGAGTCTGGATGAGATAATTAGATAAATAACCTTAAATGAGATTTTAATTAAATCCAGGACCTATTGATGAGTATGAAGCAAATTTTCTTTTATAAGTCAGGAGGTCATGGATTTAAATTAAAAACTCATTTAAGGTTATATACCTATATGACCAGGGTCTGGACGGTGGAGGGGTATGACGTACACATATTTTTTCTCTACCCTTCTGTTTCAGCAAAAACATCTGTGCCTATGTCTTGATCTTCTTATACAAATGAAAAATGTGAAGTGAAAATATAATATCCTCCTTTTTATACAAGAAACCGCCAAAAACCCAAATCTATTTTCTCGAATTCAAAAGGTTGAAGCATAGATATCTTGATCTTTTTGACCTCTTTTACCATCAAGTATCATAACTTGTAAGGGCAAGCCAATGGATAACAATAAGAATACTACATGGTTGTCTTATTCTGATACTGCATTAAGAGGTGGGCATCTATATTTGGATGTAGTTGATGAGTATGCATAGTTGAAATTACAAGGCAACATTAAACTAGCCAATTTGGAGTATCAAAATTGAATCATGGAATACAACATGAGAGCTAGTGGAGCACTTGTAAAAGGGTAAAAAAACTCACTTATTTGCTGCGATAAATTCTCTGTACTCTTTCTTCATTTTCACCCCTGATACGCTCCTGCATATCCGTTCATAAAATGTATATCACTCTTTGATACAGCTCAATAAGAACAATACGTAATGGTGTTGTAAGATTGTAGAAGTTGATCAAATAACTCGTTTGAAAAATAAGAGATCATGTAGATGCTAAGAAATATAACAAAAATCTTGTCACAAAAAGTGAAGAGAAAGACCAAATCTGCAAACCTGATCATTTCTTTGTTCTTAAAGAATTGGACACATGGTGTACCCATGATATTTGCTGCCTCAGCAACCTCAGGATCTTCTTCGATATCAATCTCAACAAAATGGACATTCTGATCAAACTCGTCTATCACCTGCCATTAATGGAAGTTCACAAATTTATTGCATAGCAGATAAAAACTCGACATGTAGGGATATAAAAAGACCCTTTCATAACATAGATGGTATGGTTTCTTGATTGACCATTGACACAGTAATCAAAATTGATTCTTCAGTTAGGATTCCAAAACCTTGTATTTACATGACCAAAACAATTAAGGAGCTCTTCAGAAAGTGGAAGTTGACATCTTCTGGAAAACAAATCCTTGATTTCTTAATAATGAAGCTACTGTGATTTTGAAAGCTCATGAACGTTTGTCCACCTATATTTTATACTTCAATACATATAGGGGGATAATCAAAACCACAAAAAAGGTTGAGAACCAGTGAATCATGTCTTGTTTCGTAGGGGTGCTCAAAAACCCGACTAACCCGGCCAACCCAACTGGAAAAAACTCAACCTGATGTAGCCCAATGCATAGTTGATATAAAATTAGGCCAAACCGCATTTATTGTGTTGGAATTGGGTTAGGGTAATTTGAACCCAACCCAACCCGATGAACTCAATGCCTTTCTATACTACGGATTTAAAATGATTATTAAGTCCTTGATTAATATATATACATTAGACCAATCCGTAATTAGTTATATTCAAAATTATATTACGATTTCAACCGTAATTTTACTTTCTTATTTGCATGAACTTTCAACTATTTTTTAAGTTTGTTAGCTTTTTTTGTATGTTCTCATTTTGATTTTACTTCGTTTAAAACGTTTAGCTAGATTGTAAAATGATGTACCAAAGTTTCAACCCGATCAACTCAACCCAACCTGCAAGGTTTGGGTTGGGTTGTGGGTTGGGAGAGATTTTTCAAACCCGCAAACATTGGGTTGGGTTGTTCAAATGCCTCCAACCTGGCCACCCCAATCCATGTGCAGCCCTATTGTTTCGCATTGTGAAACAAAAGATTCACATTAAAAATAATCACATTGAGAAAAATACCTTAAATCCTAGCCTTAGATGAACAAAGATATGTAAAACAATATTTGTCGATTGGTTCCACGGGTTTGTAACCTTTTTGTTCTCGTTTGATTATTCCCCTATCTATATGTGTGTGTGTGTGTCCACCTTTTGTAATGGCTCGCCATTAACTAATCAGCTAACAAGTTTACCCTTTATTCAAACAAAAGCCTGCACCTTTCTTTAGTGGATGATTGGGCCTTTATTGAGGGTAAAACTGGAATTCGCTTTCGAGGCCCGGTCTAATTATTAGAGTATGGAGGTGTTGCATGTGTGATTATGAATAAGGCGATTGTAAACGGAATGTATGGCACTTTAGAATATATCTTAAAATGGTATCTCCCCACTGTGGTGCAAATGGGCTGAAGGAAAGTTTATTCCAAGAAAAGAAAGTGCAAAAAATCTAAGGAAAAAAATGATTGCTTTACATGCATTTTCAAAAATTCTCACACCATGAAAACTTGATGCTCAAGAACAAAGTAGAATATAAGAACTTTTAAGGAAGATGAAGACTTAGTTTTACTAATTGCAAGTACATGTGGCATTAACTACAGAAATGAGTGTCTAGGAGTGTATTTCTAGTGCTCCAAGTGTTCTTAATAAAGGGACACAACCCTTCATTCATGGAAGGTCATCAACCATAACAACATTATTATTGTTTTTTATCCGGCATTACATTAGATATGCTTCATCCTTTCAGTTTCCACAACAGTGGGAGAAATCCCCATGCCAGTTCCTTGCATTTGTATATTTTACTCATATACCCCTCATATGCTCCTTCAACTTTGTGTGCATTAAATTTGTCAGTCATTGTATTGTGAAAAGCATTTTCATTAGATGTTCGTTGTATTGTCATTTTCGAAGATGCTCTTTGCTTATTCTCCTTGGCATTTTCGTTTTCCAATGCTCATTGCACATGGGACCTTGTCATGCATGTCCAAAAGACTGTTAACATAATCCAACTCCTCAACTTCCTACAACTATATTACAGAATATAGATGGTAGCTAGGGACATAATATACTTAATTGGGTGCGCTAAACCTTTGAGCAAAACATCTTGGCCTATATTGTTAGTACGGAATATAGACACCCCCATTCCCAAATTCCACAGTATGCATATGGTGGTGTGAAGTGGTTTATTTCAGATCAACGGTGTATTATTTTAAAAAATATGCCGATACCAAAGTGAGTAACATTACCTTGCCGAGAATTGGCTTCAAAGTCCTACATGGTCCACAAGTTGGTGATGTATATAGTACACAAATGAGCCTAGGACTTTCGTGGTACAATTTACGCAATGCATACTGCAGGGAAAAGAAAGAGAGATAAGTATGGAAAAAGAAAAATGAAGTAATGTGTAGGGGATAACAAGTTTAATAGGGGCACCACATAAAAAGATCAGCACGAATATTTCTGAGTGACAGGAGGGATAATGTAGGATGATTGGAATAAGGGAGGAACAGTTGGATATACCTGGCCCTTATGCTTAGTAAGTGTAATGTCAAATCCTTCCTGCACATCTCTTTGAGTGAGCTCCTTCTTAACTTCTTCAGTATGGGGCTGTGAAAATCAAAAGATGAAATGGAAGTTCTTGAGCATTTTTATATTTATTTTAACCACACCTAAAGAACATGATCAAAGAGAGATTAGTTCTAAGGGACCGTTCTAATGTACTCTCACATTTTCATTACTAGAGTGGGGAGATTTGAGTGGCAAATGAGAATTTTACTTTTGGATAATGTGAAGCTTCACCTAAAATCAGAAATACACTGATATGAAGCTCAAATAAACACATAAAAAGGTAAAACTTGGATACCTTAATTTGGTTCGACATACAAAACCAATTGATCCATCTGATCATACACCAGTTTGTACCAAGACTGCTATGGACACTGCTTATCCAGAATAAATAGCCCCAAAAGGAATCTCCTTGAATATACAGAAAGATTTAAACAAATAATACAAATAGATCTGGCCATCAAAATTACCAAATTTACAAGAGTAACACTACAGATACTAGAGGATAAATTTAATTGGTTACTCTTGAGAGTTTTTTTGACAGGGTTGGTTTTCCTTCCATTAAAGTGTCAGTCTTCACACACAAACTGCAGATTTATGCTTGAAATAGGGAAAAGAGGCAGACATCTAAGAGGGACGAAGTAGCTAATAATTGATGAGGAAAAGCTTGGACAGGATACATTTTTCACCCATTTACATCTTTGAAGCGTCAGAATGCAATTTAGAACAAGTGGTAAAATCATTGTATAGCTAAGACAAGGAGATAAGAAAGGGTGACACTAGTGCACCAAAGTTTATCGGATTTGCGAGGGTTGGTGACAGAAATCATCACATGCAGCTTTTCTCTTGCATTTTGTACAGAAACTGTTTCCATGACACTCTTGTCAAAAAGGAGTAACCTTAGGCTTATCCAACAACAAGGAGATGAAAGTGTATACAATTCACTTGGTAAGGTACCTGGTGAAATTCAATAAGGAGATTATTGCTGACAAGATATCTCTCCACTGACAAAGCAGCAATGCATCCTGATCCAGCTGCAGTTATCGCTTGTCTCCATTCATGGTCCTACCCATTGAAAATTGAAGGATATATGAAAATGATTACAAGAGTCAAAATCTTATTAATTGAAGTCATCTTGCTGCAACTTGAGTGCTATTTGCAGACAAAAATAATTAACGCATTGAACAATATCTGCATATATAGGCTAGTATAAATTGAGCACTTCCAAAGATCAAAAGTAGGTGAGTTTATGATCTTCACAAGAAACCAAATCACAACAAAGAGGAAAGCTAAAGAGACACTGTTCAAAAAAAATCTAGCAAACTTATGTTATATAAAAAGATGAAATTAACAGCCACTTGAATACCGGAATGAATTTTTATTAGATCAAAATTGTATTCATATGTGCATCATCAGCAACTTTTGAAGAAGCAAATTAAAACGTCAGATTGGACCACGAGTTGTACTAGTTGAAATTTGTAAGTATGTGAATATAGGACTTACAGAAAAAACATCCATTTGCAGGTCAATGATAAAAGCTATCTTAGAGAAGGTTTTCGTAAAGATACTGAGGAGAAATCTAAACATGATATCAGATGGTCCAAGGACATGTTGAAATAAGTTGGTGCTTCTGAAATGTACTTCAGATGATCCAGGAGTTGACGAAGTTCATATCGAATGCACACATTTTCAAGGGAAAAACCAACTACAACATAAAGTACAGAATCCCCCCCCCCCCCCCCCCGAAATAATAGAAGGTCTGGTATATTACCTGAACATCTCCAGCAGCAAACACCCCTTCGATAGAAGTATTTGCAGTTCCATCCTTGACCAAAATATATCCCGAGTTATCTAGATCAACTTGGCCTTCCAACAACTGGCTGTTTGGGGTATGACCGATACCATAAAATAATCCTTTAGCCTCCAGTACTGATTCTTCTCCCGTATCATGTTTCTTGATTAAAATGCCAGACATCTGTCCTTTTGTGTTGCTAACAACATCCATTGTCTCTGTGTTGTAGTGCACTGTGATATTCGGATTGTCGAGAACTCTGAAACATTCGCCAGAATCAACCTGTTAAACAAACATTCAGGGAGTTGAATCTTAAATACGTTAATTCTTTAGTAACTTGGTTCACCCATATGGTAAGCAAACATTCAATAGGAAAGTTTTCATTTCTTGAGAGATAAAATGGAATTGAAGTTGTCAAAAACAGGGAACAGATTTGAAAATCTAAGTCAGCACTGCTAGGCCTCTCAATACAACCTCTCTCTGTTGACATTGCCATCAAGCCGTTGAATGTTTCTTTTATGTCCAATAAATTATATTTTCAGAATGAACCATAAAGGAAAATGTTCCGCGGCAGAACAAAACAATTTATCAAAACCCAAAGACCTTCAAATAAACAATGTTATTAACTCAAAAGAATTTGCATTAAAGTACTATGACAAACAAATTGTCAAAATCTGGAGGCAAAGGAAAAGCTTTAAAAGAAATTTTAACGAACCAACAAGACATAAAATAACAAAAGTGAGACCGGCAAATTTAAATTGTCTATTATTCTACTGTAAAATGAAGACAATATTAAGAAACAACACATAACCTAACCACCATAATTATGAGGCAAAAACCCTTGAACCAGGGAAAATTCAAATGTTCAGCTAGACTTCTTAAATCTACATGAAAGGAAGATATGACTAACCTATCCTGCATAGCTTTTGATGCCCTCATTTGGTCCCTGCGTACGAGTAAATGCACATGTCGAGCATATTTAGTCAAGTAAATTGCTTCCTCAGTAGCCGTATCACCTCCTCCAACAACGGCAAGAATTTGACCCTTGAAAAGTGGTGAAGCTCCATCACAAATTGCACATGCACTAATTCCTCTACTCCAGAACTCCTCTTCACGAGGTAAATTGAGTCTTTTGGCAGTGGCTCCTGTAGCTACTATAATACTATGGCATTTCACCTGAAATAAAGAAGACAATCTTTATAAGTACCAGGTTGCTTTCGTCAAATTCATAATATTCTTCTTCTCTAAGTACATGATATTTTGTTCGTCTTCATTTTATAGACATGGCTGGTTTCTGTAAGGCTAAAAATACCTATTGCAACTTACGCAACAATCTTCTTCAGGCCCCTTCCCTTGATTGATCTGACAAATTTAGTAGTTGACTGTGCATTTTGCTTTACCCATGAAATTGTTAGGTTGAAGACATACAATATCAGTTCAAGCAACCTATGAATATATGTATTTTGCTGCTGCTGCAGAATGTTCTTTTTCTCCATGTGTAATAAACTGTTCTGGCCAGTTTTATAGTTGCTACTGATATAGATTTAATACTTGTTATTCCTTCATATGTTTATTTTACCCATTTTGCGCATCAAGGCATCTAAGATTGCAACCTAATCATGGACCCTCACTACCTGTATTGTGAAGGAAGTATATCCAACGCTATTCAAGTAAAATCAACAAGTCTCAAGAGTAAAAGTGCACCAAGAGCAAAGTATTATTACATAAGAATTAAAAACATTTCATCAACAGATCAAAGATGCATTTACCTTTAAAGTTATGTTACTCTCTGAAAAACTAGCTTATAGAATCACAGATTAACACGCTAAGAAGACGAAGAATCACCTTACGGTCGGTACTTTGTACAGTAAAAGGACTGTTATTCACATCAATAAATTCTACATCTTCTTGAAAAAGTTCTGCTCCCCAACGCTCAGCTTGACGCCGCATCCTAGTAACAAAATCATCAGAAATCAAAGCTCTTTCCAGTCTATGAAAAACTTGACAGCTTAAGAGGAAACTTAAGACAAAATGCAAACAGTTTCTGGGACTTAACATAACCAGCAAATAACTACAGTTACTCTAAAAGATGTCTTACCGATCCATTAAGTCTGGACCAGTAATTCCCTCTGGAAAACCTGGAAAGTTCTCCACTTCAGTAGTTGTCATCAATTGTCCCCCAGGAACACCGCCAATTTGATATCCCTCAAACACTACAGGCTTCAAATTGGCACGGGCTGCATAAATTGCCGCAGTATACCCAGCTGGGCCTGAGCCTATGATTACCAAATTTTCAACACCTTGACCTGCTAAGACAAAAGATTAAGTTGCATGAAAATAAGTCAAATCGAAGCTTCAAGGAAAGAAAAATATAAACAGCCAATCCCGGATTCCGGAAACTTAGTTGTCAAGACAAGTGTTATCAGTTAATTTTGCTTCCTCCAGGGCCTTAGGGCAAAGTCGGATATTACATCATTTCCCTTAAATGTGTCAGTCATGATAACTGTTTTACACTACTCCTCTGTAACTTGAAGACTTACTTTTGTTTTGCTCAGCCTTTCACTTTTACTCTTGCTTAACCCCAGTAGTTGCCACTCACCAATACAGAGTTTATTAGGACATAGATGCACACACAAAAACAAAGGTCGCTAAAAAAACATCATCTTTTGTTTCCACTTTAGGTGAGTTCTTAAGCAACATATGTGAATTAAATTAAACTGATTTGGGATCAAGTTTTGGAGAAGTCTGGTCCCTTGAAAATCACAAGAGCAATTAAAATCATTTCAACACTTTGAAAATCACAAGACCAATTACTAGAGAAGTCTGCATAAAATGAACAGATCTATGTCATCTATGGAAATAAGGTAAATAGGGAAGAGTTCATCAATAGATCTGTTTTAAACTTAAACAAACTAATTCCAGACTAAAAGTGTGATGCCCCATAAACACATTAAACTTGAATCTAATTACTTTTGGACTTGTTACATCAATCCTTCTCAATCCGTCATTACGGAGAAAACATTTAATGATTTAAGTGCCTAATGTCATTTTTTCTCCCGTCTTCTTTGCTTTTTCCCATCACCTTCTTTCCAAACTTGTTATATTTTCTTTCCTTACTGTATCATATTCGTCCATAAAAAAGATGGACAAAAATATCCAGTTTCTTCGTCGATGCTCCTTAAATAATTGTACAATGTAAGACCCTTTTTCACGGTATATACATCTCAACACATACAGATTTGATCAAATACATATTACAATGGGAAATTCAATATAAATCTAGTGTTTTCTATCACCATTAACTAAAAAAGTTTGTTTCTCTCTTATTTAGCTCTCCTAGCCTCCCTCCCTCCCTTCCAAATTTAACGACTATTCATTATGTATTCTAGGCTATAAGAAAAACAAAGTGAGAATGTAATATTCAGCTGTTCACTAATTTGCAAAGCAATTTTTGTTTCTGATGTATTAGGCGCCATTGTTCCCCTACATCCTATTATGAGCTAATCTACAGGTCATTGTTTTTCAAAAGTTTGTAAATAAATATTTAGGCCCCCTAATCTACAATTAAAGTCCAATATGCAAAAAGATCCCAAGATAAAAAGTTCCATACAACCATTTAGTCTAATATGGACCAACATCGTCCAGTTTAATCCGCACAAATCCTTCATATTGGCGAATTTGGATGTGATCGCTAATGAGTGAATAGCACTACCAACCATAATACATGGCCTAGATGTGTTGAGCAACAATTATATATTTAGAAATGCAAGAACATTGTAATTAGAAAGAATGTGTGATAACAACCATTGTAGTTGACAAGAATGCACAAACATTACCACATACTTTGACCATTTTTCATTGGTATGAGTACAATGTTTTTTTTTTTTTTTTTTTTTTTTGCATTTTTGAAAGTATAATTGGTTGGTTAACATGTTCAGGCCATTTATAATGGTTAGAAAATATATTCTTTTAATCTGTAACACAAATACATTTAGGCAAAATAATTTGTTCCTGACTAGGAGCCTCATACTCCCACTTAATGCAGAATGGCCAAAAGTCCATAAGCTTACCATACTCCCTAGTTATTGCAAAAGCAAAATAAGAAATTTTTGTACTTTGCATATCAAGCTTAGTATCCCATCATCACATGAAAATTGCGACAATATACCAAACACACGCTTTAAAGGAAATCTCAAATACAAAATCAAGGAGTCTTGTTGTCAAAAGCAAATTGTTCAACTTTAGCATGAAAAACAATATTCAATCTGCATAGGTAATCTAAGAAAAGGAAGTGCTTCAATTTGCAGTGGATGAGAGAAAAAAATCTCAATGCAAATACAAAACATATTTTCACCTTCTCTAGAACTTTATACAAACTATTATGAACTATACAAGTAATACTACAAATGCAACATCAACTAGCCATTAGTTTATCTGGAAACCAACAATCCTACATGGCGATGCTCAATATTTCAATAATCATACTAGTGGTTGCCACAATATCCTATAGCATGTTATAATGTGGACCATAACATATATGCATGTATATATCGATACTCTCAGCGTTTCCCCAAACTTAATGCAATGAATCCTCTCCCTGTCTCCTTATTCGCTTTATCTAATGTTTAAGTTCTAACAAACACACACATAAATGATATATACACATATAGATATAGTTTTAATTAGAGTTAGGAATGACCTGAAGAGGTAGGTTGGTCAGCAGAGATAGCTGAAACCCGAACAGAACACGGCGGCGGGGAACGACGGTAACTGCAGAATCGACCACCGATATTAACGACAGAATCGAAACGAAGAGTGGTGGCGCGTGGACGAGTCAATCCAAGTAAGATGTTGTTCGGAGTTGGAGAAGGACTGGAGGGAGTAGCAGATGTAGGTCGGCGAGTAAGGGCATTGTTTCCGATTCCGATTCCGACGCCATTAGCAATCTGAGCAGTTGTAGCCATTGGTTTCGGACCATACAATATCCCAACCAACCCAAATAACAAACAAACAACTACTGTGTGTGTGTGTGTGTGTGTGTTTTTTATTCACTTTTTGGGAATTGCATTCGGTAACGCTTCTTCTATCTATCCATAAACTCTTCTATGCAATACTCCACCAAACGCAACCACACCATTCGATACCATTGGATATGTTGCCAAATTTTGATTATTACGATATTTTAAAGAAAAGTGAAAATTTATTAGAAATAGAATAAAATTGTGATAACCTTGAGAACTAATGTATCATGTGATATCTTACATATATTTGTTTTACAATATATTTATGTTACAATGTTAATGTTTTATATGTATTTTGTGGAACAACTAAAAAGTTTCATTGTAAACAAAATACATATAAAATAAATATATAGTGATCAATATATTATGTTCAAGTTCTAAATGTAAAAAGATCATGTGAAACAATATCTTACTATAATAGTTCTCATAGTTATTATAATATATAAAAAGATCATGTGAAACAATATCTTACTAAAATAGTTCTCACAGTTGTTACAATATATGAAGTTTTCAAATGATTAAGCCCCCATGAGTTATGTCATATATTTTCTAAAATATAGTATTAAAAATCAAAATATGTAAAACAAAAGTTGCATCCAACTCAAACAATTGCTCTATTTTAACAATTTTAGCATTCATTATATTATTAAAATATGTATACCTAAGTAACTTGGGTGACACTTGTCATCTTCTGTTGAGTCGGTTATTTTATTTTCCAGAATAAATATGTATCTAAACACAATTTACATTAGTGGTTCAGTTAGACTCATTTGAACGTATCTAGACATAATTTACATTAACAATTCAATAATATTTATTTGATTGACATGTGTCCTCTTATTCAATCAATCCTACTAATTTAAGATGTAATTGATTTTATTCTTTGGTTAATTGATTCGTGTGGTAACTGATTCCCAAAAAAATGGTGTTTACTTCTAAATTTAAATTTAATTTACTGATATAGTTTCATTTCTAAATTCAATTTTATTCTAGGGTTAACTTCATTTTATTCAAAATTCAATTTACTGAAAATTTTTACTTCGGAGTTATTTCAAGAGAACAAGTCTGAAGTCATTCTTCAGAATTAGCTCACTCGAACTCTGAAGTTTGCTTTTTCAGACATAACTCATCCGAACTCTGGAGTCTGAACTCTGAAATCTTCTTTTTCAGACTTAGACGTCTGAACTCTGAAGTTTTTTTTAGACTTAAAAAAAGAAGTCTGAAGTCTTCTTTTTCAGACTTAGAAGTCTGAACTCTGAAGTCTTCTACAATTATGAAGAGTACAAGTCTGAAAAGTCATTCTTCAGAGTTAGCTCACTCGAATTCTAAAGTCTTCTTTTTTCAAACTTAGCTTACTCGAACTCCGAAGTCTGAACTCTGAAATCTTCTTTTTCAGACTTGAAAGTCTGAACTCTGAAGTTTTCTTTTTCAGACTTAGAAAAAAAAAGTCTGAAGTCTTCTTTTTCAGACTTAGAAAAAGAAGTCTGAAATTTTCTTTTTCAGACTTAAAAGTCTGAACTCTGAAGTTTTCTACAAGTCTGAAGAGTCATTTTTCAAAGTTAGCTCACCCGAACTCTGAAATCTTTTTCTTAGACTTAGAAGTCTGAACTCTGATTTAGTGTGATTAATTTTATACTTCAGAGTTATTTCAAGAGTACAAGTCTGAAGAGTCATTCTTCAGAGTTAGCTCACATGAATTTTGAAGTCTTCTTTTCCAGACAGAACACCACGGAGAGCATCATGCAGAGCCTTTTGCATAGTGCATGTAGAGCTTATGACTTGCCTATACAAAGTCTGAAGAGTTTACTTCAGAGTTATTTTAGTATACAAGTCTGAAGTCATTTTTTAGAGTTATACTTCAGAGTTATTTCAAGAGTACAAGTCTGAAAAATCATTCTAAATTTACTTATAAGTTTTAATTCAATTTACTGATTTAGTTTTATTTCTAAATTTAATTTAATTCTAGGGTTAACTTCATTTTAACTAATTATTAATATAGTTTCATTTCTAAATTCAAGTCTGAAAGAATCATTTTTCAGAGTTATTTCAAGAGTACAAGTCTAAAGTAGCATCGTACTTTCGATGATCATTCAAATCTGTAAGATAAGTTCCTGACATGATTTAATTCTTTTCAAATTAGCCCGTGTAATACATGAGATCGAAGCTATTATTTTAAAAAGAATCATCCAAATACACTTAAAATACTATAACATATTCAACCTTATTAACAAAAACAATTAAACTAATATTTCTCTATTTTCAATATTAATTTTAGAGTTCTCATTTCCTCTGTTTTCCCTCTATTTTAATATAAACTTTAGAATAACTGATGTAAAAAAACTTTATCAGTATTTAACAATTAAAAGTTCGTTTTGATTCTGATTAAATATACTGATAAATTAATTTTTTATATTTTAGGTGATATGGTGAAGATACGGAAATAAAATTAATTAAAATACAAGTTTGTTTTTATATTTAGTGAAATAATTAAAAGAAATTCTCAATGTAACAAATTTTAAAAATATTTTTCTTTTTATATATTTATTTTGATTAAATAAGTTTTGGTATTGAAGAGGAGAGTAGTAATATGTAAACTTATGGAGATATCATTGGAGAGGTTTCAGTATCTAATAGCACCTTCAACTAACGTCTCGTTTGTTTTTTTATTTTCAGCTTTTAATTATCATTTTTGTCTGATTCGTTTGGACATTTTGTAATTCAGACTGTTTATTTTTTTATTATTTTCAGAATCTCTTATCACTTAATAGAGTATGAATAAAAAAAGGTAAACTAATATCTTAATTCATCTTACTTCCCTTTTTCTTTGATTCTTTTTGCCTATTGTTTTTTCTCTCTATCAGGGACGTCACCGTCCTTTCATCAACCATGTGAAATGCACGCCCCACCTTCTCTCTCTTTCTGTCTCTCTCTCTCTCTCTATATATATATATATATATATATAATTTATGTACGTATAGCTTAGCTTAGAAGATTAATATCAAACAAGAACTTCTATCGGCGATCTATTCTCTATCAAAAGTATCAATCTTTTTCGCAAACAAACCGACGACATTCCTGATAGTATCGGAAGTCCAAAAGGTATCCAAAAGGTTCTTACTATGTTCCATCTGTTAAGCAATTGTTGAGATGAATTTCGGCAATGGAAATCTTATGAAAATCAAGAGAATTTTGCAAAAATTTTGCACCTGATTTTACAAAAACAAACTAGTGATTAAAATTTCAGACTTCAGACGTTTGTCAATTTATAAAAACAAACAGTTTTATTGGTTCAAACTTCAGACTTCAACACCAACTTTTATTAATCAGAAGTGAAATAAGGTTTTTGACCTAGTTGAACTTACCTCCATTAACAAACTTTCATCAACAAAGATGATGCAGATCAAACTAGTAAAAACTAAATCAAACCCAAATCTTAAACTAAATCAAAACCCTAAGATGATGTAGATCCAACCAAATTGGGTATTTGAGGACGAAGGACACTGAAGATGCAAACATGGTTGTTCTTAGATGCGTCCTAAATGGAGATGAAGAGTTCTACACAAAGTATTATGACGATGGGGTAACCATTAATGGAGATGCTCGATGACACGGTTCATCAATTAGGTGTGGGGTTGGGTTGGGTATCGGAAACGGAGGTTGGATGCTAGAAACGGAGGTTGGACATCGGTGGTGACAGATAGAAGAGGGTCAACGTCTTTTTCAAGGGGTGGGGGATGAAGGGAACCAATGTTTGTATTATATACAGGGGCTTAATCATTTGAGAACTCCAAAATTTATGAGATCCAATAAAACTTTTACCTTAAGGTTTTGTTTCACATGATTTTTTATAAGAATAGTATTTAATATGTTGATTAATATATATATTTATTTCACAATATGTTTGTTTCATATGTACTTGGTTCACAATTTGTTTCACAAATATGACAAAAAGGTTCACATTATGAATTGAGAACATGTGATATAAACACATTTTCAAACAAATATATGTTAATCAATATTTTAAAAACCTACTCTTAGTTAAAAAAATCATATAAAATTACACAAGATGCACAATTTTTCAAGGTTATCATAATTTTATGGGTTCTCAAAAAAATGCCGCATATATATATATGTATGTATATATGTATGTATGTGTATATATATATATATATATATATGTATGTATGTATATACAAACAACTAAATAATCATAAAGTAATAAAAAATTATAAATTGACCATTTGTTCTCATGCATAACGAAGACAATAGATGAAATTTTACATGAGGGACCAAATCCAAGATAAATTGCATAGGTGAAGGGTTTTTTTTATAATAAATGAAGATAAGTGACTAATTCTGTAACAAATGATAAATCTTAGAGAGCAAATCTGTAATTTACTTTTGTATATAATATTATAGAAAGGTACTCGTACAATGCAATGATATACATCTCGATTTTTATATTTCATTTTTTTTTGTCTCAATCGATGTTATAATACGATTTTTGTGGTTTCGAGAAAAATGACAATGTTTTTATTTTTAAATAAAATATAAAGATATATCATAAAAAATTGAAAACAAATATTGATATTGATACAAACTAACTATTTAGAATTTTTTTTGTAATCTTAAAATTTAATAATATGCATCAATAAACAATACTTCATGCATAAAAAATGTTTTTTTAATTTTTTTTGTCAAATACTTTATAACATAGTATAAATATATATAATATAGAGTTCTTGTTATAAGTCACGACTTTAAAAACGTCATATCCTAAGGCTTTATTGCATGGCCTCGTCGTCAAGTCACGCCTCATACCATTTAGAACTTTGATTATCACAAAGATATTTTAAATATATTATAAAGTGTTAAAATTTATTAACTTTTAAACATGTCCATTTTTGTCATTTACATTTTCCAACTCCTTATTAGATAGTTTTGACCAAATGTATTTAGTTTATCTGCTAGATTGCGAAACATAGCTAAAATATCTAACTATTTCAATTTTCAATTAACAGCTAAACGCATGAACTAGTAATATACTTTTATAATTTTTTTATTATAACAATGTACTTTGAAGTTATTTTTTATTAGAAAATTGTATTTTGA